GACAAAATGGCGGAAGTACGAACAAAAAGTTCCATTTTCGTCAAAAAATAGTCGAGTAAAATCAACTGTAACTCAAAAAATTTGTAACTTATCAAAAAAATTCTACATATTTCTTTAAAAAATGTGATTTGTTAAATATACTGTTAAAATTTGAAGTAAATAGGTTAAAAATTGTTTGAGTTCTACTGCTAGCCAACTTAAAAAATATTGTTTTGAGAAAAACGCGTTTAAAGTTTTGAATGCGAATGCTTTTAAGTTAACAATTGAATTTTTAGGAACTTATAACTTTCGAAAAAAATTATGTATCGCAATAAAACCACTTACATTTCATTTTTGAGACTTTAAAGTGTATTTTGAAAGAAAAAAAAATCGATTTTTTGAAAATTTTATATAGGTGTTATTCCTTAAATTAAAACTTAAACTTTGAGAGAAAGTGAGCAACGAAGCGGGTGAAAATTTCTTTGTTTGACCATTTATTTGTTCAGAACTTATTGACAACAGCAGTATTTGGATGGTATTCTGCGTCTAAAGCGCTTAAGTCGTTTGCAATTGCAAAAGATCACAAACTAATTATCTCGCGAAAAATGGCCATGCAACCGGCAGACAGACATCCGGCCATCGGCACGGTGATCAGCCATGCGAACGCGATATTGCGAAACAGCTTCCACGACACTCCCTCGCCGCCACGCGAGGCCCATCCTACGCACACCACTGACCCCACTTTACAGTGCGTCGTTGACACAGGTAGACCAATTTTACTTGCTAACAGAACTGTCACCGCGGCACCCACCTACAATCAAGAGTTTCATGTCGATTAATATTATAACATAGTTCAACAAAGAGAAAGACTTAAAGTCTATGAAATCAAACAGGAAATTGACCTTGTCAATTATGAATAGATGTAGCAAAGAGGTAAAGGAAAATGGAATATTATTAATCCCTTCAAGTCTACAATATCTATTAATTTCCATTATATCATAAAATGTGTTATAAATTTATCTCTGTACTCAAGTATATATATTTTCAGTACAATAAAAATCAGGGACCAAAAGGATTAACCCTGTTTCTCGCAGAATTCTCCGAAAATAATCAGCTCCAATCGTTCGTTTTACCTCTATAGTGAACCCAGTCGTGGGAGTGATGCGTGCCAGATCCTGGCCCAGCGTCTGTATCACTCTGCGTCCCCAAACCCACAATCCCGTAGAAATACCTAGGCCGCCGTACAACAGTATGAGTATGGGTGTTTCGGCCTCCTGTCGGGCCGAGCCCTCTGCATATACCGCCCAGAGCGCGATCAACGGCCCGATCGCGTTACTAACGTCGTTGCCACCGTGTGCGAAGCTGCCAAACATCGCAGTGAGAACTTGCAAAAAGGCGAATAATCTCGATACTTCCGGTTGCGCCTCATCATCTGCTATCCCGTCCATCTGCGCGTTCTCCACGTCCGCTTGGGCGACCATCAGCAATGGGCTCTCGCTGCTATTACCACGCAACTTCGGAGCCAGGTCGGCCTTAGCGTTACCGTTGCTGCTGCCACAGGGAGCCTCCGAGATCACCGACAACGCCGTCGTCTCGTTGTTCTCTTGGCAGAGGCCAAAGTTCGTCGCCGTCGTTGCTGCTGCCTTCTCGTCACTGCCATTCGATCCTAATAGTATTCTCGCTCTCTGTCGTGGTACCACGTGCACGTACACGATTACCGCGGCAAATGTGCCTGCCAGTATCGCGAGTATCAAGCTAATCCACCACGGCATTTTGTCCATCATTAGTACTAACAAATGAAAAAAAAGACATCTTGAATAAAAAGATGAAAAATTCAATATGACAAATTATTGCATAAGAACATTATTTTTTTAATACTAGTTTTTCTTCTTTTTACTCTCTTGAAAATATTATTTAGAATCTTGGGGTAAAATAATATACTTTATTTTTTCAAAATACTTACGTTTAGGTCCGTCAAGTGCAATTGACATAATATTGACAGCAACGGTCAAACCGTACGCTATAGGAAGAATATGAAGACCTTGTTCGAACGGTTTGTTAGATTGGAGTACGGTTTTTCTTATTATCCAAAAGATACTGACGGACACGATCCCGCTAAGTATGGGGCTGGCAAACCAGGACGCTGCTATGTTACCAAGAGCTATCCATTTTACCTATGACATCAATACGGCTTAAAGTTAAATTACTACAATCATGAGTTACGCAATCGCAACGCGTCGTGGTGCTACTAACCCCGGCGGTACCCCGGCATACGAGCGAAAATCCAACTGTAGCACCAACAATGGAATGCGTACCGGAAATTGGAAGTCGTAATGCGGTAGCCAGCAGTAGCCAGATACCAGACCCGGCTAGACTGGATAACGCTCCTAGCATCAATTCCTTTTCATGGCCTTCGTACAATGAGACATCCAGTATACCCTTGCGCATTGTATCGGAGACCTGTAGCGGAGGAATAAATTATCAAGTGAGAACAATTTTCCAAAGTCGAACTTTCTACCAGGTTGTTCTATAAATTCTGGATGCAAATTTTGCCTTCAGAAGCAAAGCAAACGAGATTGAAATAAGTTTTGAAAAATATACACTATATATTACTCCTTTGCCCTGAAGAAAAAATTCTTATATCTCATAACATTTTTAAGAATTTTTCATATTTTAAACTTATGTAAAAAGACTTCTAAAAAAAATCTTAAATTTCTTCAAATTTTATAAAGTTTTCCCTTTAAAATTATTAAGAGAAATCTTGAAATATTTCAAAATTCATATATGTGAAAAATTCTAAAAAAGATATAGACTTTTTCAGTCTACTTGAACTGTTCCAATTTGTACAAAAAACGTCTGAAAATTTTTCTAAAAAAATTATAAAATTAGAAATGTTGAAAATTCTGAAATTTGTATAGAAATTCTGAAAAATTATATGAAGAATACTAAGAAAAATTTTCGCCAGGATGATTTATACAATATTATATTTATTAACATTTTTATTTATTTATGGAAATTCGACAACCGGCATTGTCTCGATACCTGCCTTGTATCCTATCAAAACGGCACCAGCGATCTCAAAGACGGTCGCCAGGGCGCAGGCTTGAAATATCGTAAGCACTCCGGCGCCGACGCTCGTCCCGAAGCTGTTGGCGACATCATTGGCGCCGATACCGAACGCCAAAACGAACGCCACTATAAAGCCGACCACTACTATCCAGATTAAGCTCTCATCGTATGGTATACTCATCGTTCTCGCTTTTAACTTAAATCTATTCTGCTTGAGCTTTCAATGCGTGTGTTTGTTGCGTGTATATGCAATTATCCTCCTACTACACGTGCGTATCCATCAAAAAATTGATAGGC